GGACATTAGCAGGAGGAGCGCAACAACATTCTCAGGCGGAAAAATAAGCGGAATCAATCATATCATGGGAAATTCTAAAAAAATGGATTCATTGGTTTGCGCTTTGGCAGTCTCAATTGTATAAATCCAGTTAAACTTAAAGATGCCAATCATTGCTTTAGGCACGACTTTGGTCCCAATGTTCCCTTCGTTGGTGCCACGAAAAAAGTGTTACCTAACATTGTTATGTACTACCCCATTACATTTCGTTGGATGATATGGGCATTTCCAATTAATATATGGTAGTACCGCAACTCAAGTTGGACCGTAACATTTGGGTCAGTAACCTAATTTATTGGGGTGCTGCCACGATTGTTTGAAAATGCCCGAGTCGGGTCTTAACCCCTTCCTCTTTTTCTCCGTGGCGATTTCGTTTCTTCCACACAGATCTCACAGGATAAGGACTCAATTTTTTTGGAACATCCAGGCCACCTTCCTTGAGCCCCTCCCTCGTCTTTGCTAACGGAATCAACAATCTGTATCAACTTTGAATCCTCACATGTATGATATTCAAGATCGATCGGACAACTTTGAGATCAGTGTTGCCTGTTGAAGTATATAATTCTACCAGGGCCCTGCGAGATTACCTTGATGGTGGATATTTTAAGTAAAATGCGGCTACACTGTTGCGGACAGCTCAATCACGCGCGCGGCTATCAACACCATTAACGGGAGGATCCAAATGCGGCTGACCGAGCTGCCTCTTATCTGTTATCGGTGTCTTCTCGATGAATTAATTAGGCACGGTCCATCTTCATTCAGATTGATGGAAGTTCTCTCAAAGGTGGATCCTCAGGTTTAGACGCTATGTCTCCTGGGCACGGAGGATATATCTTAAGTTTTATCCATTTGGGGGATATCGAGAAAAACAACGTTTTAGGGAAGGGAAGTGCACGTGCAAAGAATGTTAGAGCTGAGATTGCCCGCTCATGTTTTGGATTAGATGTACTCCCTGGAAGAGGGCGATGGGAAAGTCTCATGAAGAAATGTTGAGATGCCAGTTGCCTTATGACCTTTAGGAGGAGGACTTTTTGAAAACTTAGTTGTATGAACCGAGGATAAGGTTCCGACAGCATGGTTACATGAAGCAAATAGCACGCTCCGGTGGATTCAGAAAGTTGGCAACATCGTTTTCTCTCCATTGAAACCAATGGGTATGAATCGATGCTGAAGTCGGTGAAATGAAAGCTACAATCAGTTGCGAAGCGTAAATGATCCATTATTTCCTCTTTTGAAGTTACGGTAAAGAATCGATTATTAAGGTGTCCGTTGCGAAAACCCTGTTTATCGATCATTTTCCATGGGTTTAGATGGCAAATCAATCGATATATTGCAAAGGATGTAGCATTGGACCGCTGCCTGACGATAACTTGGAGAAGCAAAACTTTAAGAATTGTTAACGATGTCTATAGCCGAGCCGTGCTTAGGCATGAACGCCCTGTGAGCATCAATCACATTATGAGTCAGTGACAATACATTATATCCCACTTGATAGTCCCAAAAGGGGTAATTTGTACTCAGTAAGCTCCAACTTGAGACTTGCAAACAATCCAGTTAAGTACCGTATGAAACAGTTCAACTATTGGGTGTCAAAACCGCAGAAAAGTATCACCGATTTTAGACGGTCAGTGGTGGATTCTTGCTAATTAGTATCATCGAACATAGTCTCCGTTCAGCGCAAACCACACCCGACAGTGGTATCACTTGCTGCCAATTCGCTGAAATTTTTAATCATCAATTTTTTTCTCATCACACTCTGAGTCTCTTTTCAAGTCAATAAATTTAAAAAACACACACGAAATATATTATATTCAAAGAAAAATTGACTATCCTAGTGCTTCATACTTTCAGGGTGCGTTTCCGCTTCATACACGCTGGGCGTGTCGATTTCCTTTGGCATTTTTGCGCTGGTGAATGCATAGCTGATGTGCGCCCCAGGTAGAATTGTATTTAGCAAATGGGTGGTGTTTCTACGAGGATTAAAAATAAACGAGTGGTACGGAATATAACAAAAGAATATGAACTATGCAAAACGATAATCCGGGTATCGGAACTTGGCTGTTTTGAAAACGCCTTCAAATGCGGCGTGAATCCTCACGCATTCCGGAGAGTTCAAATAGTTGTATCATTGCGCCTTTGAAATGCGACGGAAGATTGCAATTGAAATAGCCTTCATGCACGCTGGCCTTTTCGATTTCCGTTAACATTTTTGCAGTCATGAATGCGCTTAAGTGCGCTCCAGCTGGAATTGTATTTAGCAAATGGGTGGTTTTTATGGGAGGATTAAAAATAAACGATTGGTACGGATTGTAACAAAAGAATATGAACTATGCAAAACGATAATCCGGGTATCGGAACTTGGCTGTTTTGAAAACGCCTTCAAATGCGGCGTGATACCTCACGCATTCCGGAGAGTTCAAATAGTTGTACCATTGCACCGTATGAATGTGACGGATGATTTAAATGGAAATAGCTTTTTCCGATAGTATGCCGCGGTTATTCTGCAAATATGAAGGACGGATGTTCATTGGTTTTTTTTTGGTGGATAATTTTGTTGGGGAAAAATTGGGGAAATCTAGATATGGAGGTCTTATGCTTTGTACGGTAGCACAGTCTTAAATGCCTTCATACTAGACTCTGCACTGATAAATGTGATTTAAGAATATCCTTTTTAACTGAGACAAATTTCTCTTTGATTTATAGATATTTTTAAAAGGTCAAGATATTTTCCTTGAATGACAAATATTTCTTTTGATTCGAATGAGTTTTTTTATGGAAAATTTAAGTTTCTTTAAATTGAATAAAGACCCTATTTGAATACCAAGAAAACTTATTTAAATTAAGAAATCTTTTTATGAAAAAACGATCTTAGCCGTTACAAATTTGTCTTCAAAAAGCAAAGATAATTTTTTTTTTTTTTTTGGAAAAAGTATTTTTTGATCGAGGGTCTTTAATTTTTTTAAGATGCTCCAGTTTCAGGCTCAGGGCAACCATACCCTCTTGGTTGTAGTGTAAACCCACACATTTTGACATCACCCGAGTCTTACACAAATAGGAAAGAAATAAAGTGGCAACCTCGTAGAAATGGACCCTCAATTTAGAGTTGACGTCAGGAGTGATTGGAATCGGTCATTTGAAATTCACGGGTGCTTGTCCCCGTCTTGAGTCTGACCGAGTAACTGTTCTCAGTTCTCATGACCACTCTAGGTCTTGGCCCCCTCCACCCGTTCCCTCGCCCGTGAACTGGCACTTCCTCTGAGGTGATACATTCCTCGAGCAAGCCCAGGAGACTCCTCGTTCATGACCAGCCTGTCAATTTGTGACGTCATCGAGGATCGTTCATGGCGAGGATGATGGATGAACTTGATACGAGCAGACTAGAGGAAATGAGATGGTAATAGGTCAGGTAGTAATGAGGCATTTTATTTTAGAGTGGTGCCCGTCATCTTTGACCAATGATACCTCTGCAGTTAAGTAGTCGAGTTGTAATTAAAATAGACGATCATTGGAAAATTTAACTAGATTGACACTTTTGGGAGCCAGGGTAGGTATAACAAACTTCAAAATGTCAGGACTGAATCGCGATGGTAACATCTTCCTTTTCAACCAGGAAACAACAAAAATTAAAAATACATTTAACGGAAGAATAAAAAAACCGATCCCGGCTGCTGGTCTTTTTATATCACAAACATGAGGTCTGCAGGCTGATTATTGAAATTGATAAACATAGAAGACAACAGGAAAAAGGAAAGATTCTATTGGTTGAAACAGCTAGATGGTTGTTTTAGACTAAGGGAGAAAATGATAGACTAACTGAAGGATCTCTGTAAGGTTGCCCTTAGTGAGTCTATTTCTTACCTCCGTTGTCAATTGTAAACACCTGCTTCCACTAATGGAATCCCTCTATTTTCTTTTTAACTCCTATGCTTATAGCTTTGTCTATCAATTTCAATAATCAGTCCGCTGGAACTTTTTCTATTTTTATTTATTCTATTTTTTCATTTTTCATTAAAATTTTTTTTATCAATTTTTTGTATTCTGTTGTTTGACCGTGATACCGGAATCCAAAAAGCTCCACAGCCTCAGAAAATTTCCATAACAAAGAGACTTATTTCACGCGAAGACGTTCAATTGTGACATTGAGGCAAACATTTTTATGATACAAGATTTCTGGTGGGGCACTCAAAATTCGGCAACGAGGCTTTCGTATGAGTCCCACACAGTTTGAAAATGATGGATCCGAAAGGAATGAATGAAACTGGTTCTCTGGCCGGCGAAAGTGGGACGCTATGGCTAGCTCGCTCCGATCTTCGGTCCCCCGACAGAAAATTGGAGATTGGGTCCCTAATCTTCATTTAACAATCCCACTGATTTTTACTTGTATTCTCTTTATCTAAAGAATTCTCTCCTCAAAATAATATGATTCATTTTTTATCCAATATGAGATTCAACCATAGGTTATGTGTTCGTTTGCTTGCTTCCTTGCTGATTTTTTCGAAATGAAATGTGATACATTTTTATGCGTACTTTAGGGAAGCGAACTTAGATATCAGCCTTATAACTTCAATTGGATACAACATATTCTCCAGTCAAAATGAAACCATCATAATTGCTCCTTGAATAATCGCAGCATAAGTTCTTAAGTTACACGAAAGGTAAACTTGAAAAGAACGAAAAATATTTAGTACCTGCAGGAACATTGCGATGATTATTTAGATGTATACAGAGGTAGAAAATTATGCTTATTTTTGTTACGAGTATGTTACTGTAAAAAAAAACAAACAAAAAAAAAAACAAAGGCCCTTCTCTAAGATTATTTCGAATGAAATCCCCTTGTTTTTTTTAGTAGTTAATAGTACAGTCGGCTCTATTTGAAAAGTTGAAAGAGAGAAACAAATGTTTCTCCCATGTTAGCGTGTAGTTCAATGGTAAATTATTTATGGTTGATATTATTTCTTCAGGAGCTTTGAGCCCAGGAGGAGAGACAGTGGCCCCCGCATACATCGCCAAGTACAATCGATTCATCGACACCATCTTGATGAGAGTTAACAAAATCTTGAAGAAAAGCTACGATCCAGTGAACGTCCGTCTTCAAAGCCCGGTCGACACGAAGAAAAAAGGCCCGAAACCTGCCGCTACGAAGAAGAACAAGCCGAAAACCAAGCTGAAGACCAAGAGGCGACCTGTCAACAAGGAAACTCGAACCGATGAGTGAGTATAGAATTGAATTTTAAAATCTATATAAGACACACGTAACGATAAGTACAACACTCTCATACAACAAATACCATGAAGTAGTTGTTGTACGTGAATTTTTACTGGTAAAATGTGATGAAATAGTGAGGAGATACAGGTGAGGTGAGGTGATGATAAACAGTCTTAAAGCGCCTTAAAAATGAAAACAGAGAAGCACAGCATGTGGCCGGTGGCGTGTAGGAAATTGCGACTGGCAAGGAGAATAAAACGATGCATTGATGGAAGCGAACTTATCACGAGTTAAAAGTTCCTTCAAATAAAAGGGTATGCAATTTTACTCTCCTCAACGCTAAATTAGTTGCTACCCTGGAAGGCGTTTTTGCGCTCTTAAGGAGATACAGTGTCGCGTCGCAGGGAACATGATAAGCTCTTCAACAGCGCATTCGCGTTTTACTCAATTAAAGTTTCTCTTATAATAGTGTTAGAATGTATTCGTGGGAAATTGTAAGCACAAAATTACTTGAGTACAGTCATCGTAAATGAGCCAAGTCAGCAGAGAGGATTCAAATGCAAATACATAGTTATGCAGTGTCAAATATGTACGATACAGAGGAATCAAAGAAAGAAAAAAAAAACACTCAAGAATGATTCTTCAATAGCACATTCAAGCTTGAAGACAAAACATGGGAAATTTGCGACGAACTCCGTTAAAACTTGCGCTATCGCCATCCTTCGAACAATTCAGTTTAAATTAATTAATTATGCGAATTATATCTTGGAACTTTGATTCAGTGTTCCTGAGAGTGTTAGGAAGTATACAAACAAAACAACAAAAACCTACATCAAAAACTAAAAATCGATGTTTCGTACAACAAACCAGTTTTATAGCTCTGCTGAACTGAATCAAGTTTCCATCTTGAGGCATTTCTTTCCTGACTCCATGAAATGTGTAATTTCCTTCCGAAAAATCCAACATAAGCCTAAAAAGTAGGTTCATTTCTGCTGAACTATAATTCTATATGAATGCACGTCCGTGTAATACATTTTTATTAGCCAGACAAAGTATTCATTTTTTTCTTAATTTGTTGACGTTTCACTCAAGGCAGCAACTAAACCGCACCTCTCAACAGTCTCAAACTTCAAATGCAGTATCAGACTCAGCCTCTTTAAAGGTAGAACCAAAGAATGACCAAGGCAGCAGTCTGCCTACCGATGGAACGACCTCTCCGCAACAAAACGTAGCCGCCTCTAACAGGAGACAGCAAAGGAAACGAAAAGTAGTCAAAACAAAGGTAATTTCTCGACTCTTTTTCACTTACGCCTGCACGGAGATAATAACTTCTTGCGTGGGACCCGATGTTAAGGTCATATGGATCTCTGAAGTTTTCAGATCGCGTATCCGAAAACTTGAGGTCCAGTGCCGACGTCTGGGTCAAACATTTGAAGTACTCCAGTATCTACCGAAGGGTTCGAGCCACACATGAGGGTAGGAAATAGCGCTTGGCGAAATACCTCCATTGCGTGCTTTCAGTTCAACGAGTCTCTGTATTGTGATCAGAATAATCGTGCTGCGGCTTTGAGACGCCTTCATCTCCAAGTGATACTCGACGCTTCGCCACGAAATTAGTTTTCATAATTGAGAGTAACAGAGGGTATTTTTAATTTCGAACATGATTTCGGCTAGGATAGTCTTTATTTTAATTTACTACTAGTTAATAGCAATGAGCTTCAGAAAAAAGCTAGTTACTCTCTGAAACACCTAAGTACATATTTTTCGAGCTGTAATAAGCAAGAAAAGGGGATGTTAACTGTTTTCCATGTTTTAGAGAAACGCCGTGTAAAAGAAAATATGATTTTTATGTAAAATGGTGACGTTTGTGTTAAAAAGCGTGTTATTTTCAGTCTTTGTTTATTGTTTCAGACGAAGGTGCAGATAGCGAGAAATAATCCAAGAGCAAAGGCCACCTTGTATGGTTTGTCATCTATGCGAAGGGATGGTGACGTCACAGCTAATGTTATGCGCTCCCATACAACTGTGAGGGCGAAATTCTTGGTCGGTCCACTCACCCTCAAAGTAGAGAAAGAGGTAAATCCTGACAATTTTCGACGAGTTCATCAATTATTTTAAAAAAGAGATTTTTTTCTGCAGAAGACTGTTTCTTGATTAAACCACCAAAAACTGTTGAACTAATACCGCAATAAAGAAAAATCTTGAAACGGAAGTAATGAAATATAATAAAGTTAGTGGAATTAGTTTTATTGAAGTAGATAAAACATAAAACCTTATCCATTCATCCATTTTCTGTCCTTTAATTTGTGTTTACTGTCAGCATCGATCAACCGATAGGTACCAAAAACTTATGTTGAATATTCCCAAATATTATTTCAAGTTCTCATTAACAAAGTAATGTTAAATTCACAGCCCGCAATATTAAAAATCATTGAGCTGAATTTGCTTTTACCCAGAGGAACATATACGACACAGCCGTTCAATGTGTAAAGCATTCTGCACCATGAAAACATCGATGTCATTTGACAGGTGCACGTCCACTTCATATGATTAAAAATTACAGTTTATTAAATTTATTAATATTGTCCTTGTAAATGTTCACAGTTTGGCCGCGGTGTAAAGAAAGAGTTGAGAAGTGCCACTGCCACGACCGCTGAACTGGTGGGCAAACTGAATCTTCGAGTTGTGCAGGGAGGAGCCGCAACCCTTCACTCAATCAGGGTCCTCCAGCCCAAACAGGTACGAAACTCTTTAGTTTTCGTTAAAACTCTGCTAGATAATTTTGCAATCAAATTAATGAAGTTAGCTGAGACATTTTGTGTTGTATTCAAGCAGATATTTTTAATTCCTTTTAATGATCCCACCAAGTTCCACCAAGAACCACCCGTTCGACACCAAGAAAATACTCCTTTTCGAGAGCGCGCACGGTACACCGTAGAATACGCGCAATGCATGCAGTATCTTGCAGACTTGTAAGGCGCTGATATACTTCGCGCGCACCGTACTGTACGCGCAATGCATGAAGTATCCTGCAGACTTGTAAGGCGCTGATATACTTTGCGTGCACCGCACTGTACGCGTAATGCATGAAGTATCCTGCGGTCTTGTAAGGCGCTCCTATGCGTTTTGAGCCGTGCTCGTGCTAGCCCCGCACCGCCGGTCGCTCTGGATTTGACGCGATTATTCAAACTTGCCAATCAGCGGTTTTCAACTTCGGATTTTGAAGTTTGTTGGAATTTTTGTCATTTCAAATGATAAAACATTTAATATTCATATTTTTATAAATAATTTTGTCTTGCCCAATAAGTTGCTCATCAACTAATGTTAGACGAATAAGAGTAGCGTTGACGTCAAAACTTAACTTTTGTCTTACCCAGCTACATTGCCTCGATTATTATTAGTGTAGGTCTCTAAACATATATATTGTCTCTAAATCCATTTAAATGGGCCTATTGCAAACTTCAGTCTGAACAACAAGAAGAGCTTTGTCTTACAGAAAATGACTCAAAAATTACGATGAGAGCATCAAGAGAGTCCGAAATACTTTTCTAACTTCACAGTCTGCGAAAGAAATATGCGTCTGTTTAAGCTTTACGCTAGAGAAACAATACTACGGCATAGGTGAACATTTCGTAAGAGGAGTCGTTTCACCAAATCCTTGCCACTATGATGCTACGCATTATTCAAAATGGCCGACGCCAACCCGCCAAAATACACGTGACAAGACGGGATTTTATCATCTGGCGTGTTTATATTTACATTTTTTTTACGTTGATAAATAATCCTAAACCGGGAATAATTCAATTGGAACGATTCCTCTCACAAAATGTTCACCTGTGTGATTGTGAAATTAGGACTGTATTTCAGACTTCCTCGATGCGCTCATCGTGATTTTTGAGACATTTTCTATAAGAAATAACTACTAATTGGACGTAAGTCTATCAAACTGAACTAAGCGCCGTTGGGGGAGGAAGGGAGAGGGGGCTTGGATTGGCGGGTGTTGCGGAACGCGATGCTCGTTCCCTCGTTCCGTCCTATACTCGCAATGCTTTTCCATGGCGCTTAGTTCTGTTTGATAGAACGCGCTATCCGGGATTCTAATAAAATCCTCAAAAGGAACTCAATTTGGCGCTTAGTTCCGTTTAACATTAATACGTCCAGTTTTGCTCTAGCCGAAGTTTGTAACAGGCCCATTGCATCCATTTCCATCTAAGAATTCTAATATGTACACTGAAAAAAAATTCTCGGCGTTTTTACCAAGGTCCGTTGGTACCTTTACCATCTCACTTTTTTTACCAATTATTGGTAATTTTACCAAGACAGACTGGTAAGCTTACCTAAAAACCGGTATTTTTACTGTTTTTTTTTTCAGGTAAAAATACCACTTTTATTGTTAATCAATTCCCGGTAACTTTGCCATTTTATCTCGGTATTTCCACTGCAGTCGATAAAAAATATTGGCGGTTTTACCAAGGTCTAGTAAAATTAACGCGAAAGTTCAATAATTTAACTGAGATTTCTCGGTAAAATTACCAATTCCAGGTATTCCAATAATTGGTAATTTCCAATTTCCGGTAATTTTACCAAGAAAAATCTGGGATCAAATAGAACCCTGGTTTCTTGGTAATTTTACCCTTTTCTTTGTAAATACACAAAGATTTTTTTTTCAGTGTACGGGCACATTTGTCGCTACATTTTGTTTGATAATGAGTTTCTGTTTCGTGGTCAGCAGGTGCGGATCGACACGGGAGCCCCGGAGGACAACGACCAAGACCAGACGCGGGAGTTCATGTGGAAGAGGTCATCCAACATCGCGCACCTCGTCGCCGAGAAACTCACCGCCGTGACCAGGTCCATGCTCCAGCCACCCCCGCAACAGATTCCCGCCGAACCCACCCCCATCCCTTTCGCCAAAGCCGCGTAGGCTAGACTAGCTTAAGAACCCACCCGGTGACTCCGAGTCAACTTAATTGTTATCCACGGTGATACATGAAGACTGGAAATTTAAAATATCCTCTATCATCACACAGAAAAAGAATAAGAAATTAAAAAACGTCTTTCAAATTTTAAACAAAACTATTCAATTTTATAATTTGTTTTGCTCAAAAATGTGTTTTTCAGCTAAAAAATAATGGTCTCAATGCATTTTGTCGAATGAAATCAGATATTTTTTGACTCAACAAAATTTGTTTAGAGCCCAGAAAATTTTCTCTGCATCTGAGACAAATTTCGTAATAAAGCTAAGAGACGTTTTTAAACTTTTGTTTTGTTTTTGCTCACTGCAGCTTTTGCTAGGATCGTGCAATTGGTTCCTCCCACTACAGGAACTTTGTTAAACGTTACAAAAGTTTCATAAAATTGCATGTAGGAAATTTAAGGGTCGATTATGTAACGCGCCAAAAAAACTAAAAGAAACTTTAAAATTTGTCCCATTATAATTTTATTTTATAAATTCAAAATTAATTTTTTTATATTTCCCAATGTCTCGCCTATTAGTGGCATCAAAAACTATAACGGGATTGTATTCTATACAATTTCATGAAACTTTGCATCATTGCAAGAATCTGATAACCAAAAAATGGACAAATTCGTTCGACTATGAAAGCCTAACTTTTAAAAAAATGCCTCAATCGGAAGTTAATGAAAGGAAGCGATCTGAATGAGCACGATCTTAAATCGCCTGATTTTACCTAGGATATTTTCGTTTTCAATGTTAACTCTTTTTTATAGAACGTATCATCGCATCGAGTCGTAATGGTCTTATTTTGGGGAGGAGGGACATTTTACCGCAGGATAGCTCGCATTTTACCTTTTTCTCAAAATTCAAAAACGGGAGGTGGCAAAGCTGTGCCCTCAGCTGTCCTCCTGAAGTATAATTTTTTTTTTCAAATCCGAAAAAGGTCCTTCGTCAGGACGGATGAGAGCACTGCTTGTCACCATCTCTTATTTAATTTTAAAAAAAAAATCTCAAAAACGAGCCACACTACTCTGTGGTTGAAATCAATTTTAAGAGCGAGATTGTATTTTAATTTAAGTTTTTATGATCTTCTCCGGAGGATGTTTTGACGTATTGACAAAATGTGTCATTGCATCATTACTTAAAGAAGGCTTAGTTTTTATGTAATATTTCTCCCTTTTTTTATTTTTGTAAATTGTTGAGATGATGATTGCCGCTTACAAAACGTTGCCGTAAAATACTAAAAAATGGATAAATCAAATCAAACGCTCTTGCACAGTTATACTCGACTTAAATAACTAACCCTATGTATGAGTTCCTCAAATGTTTTGACGGTGCTGCATCGCGATGCTTGATTTTATAGTATTTAATTATTTAATTGAATTTGGTAAATTTTGACCATTGAATCCCGAGGCAGCATCGCAGGTTGAATATACTTGGTTTGATTTCAACTGAGGCCATTACGACTGATACTAACAATAAGTTTGTCTCAGTCATCAGTGTTTAATGCTCAATATTTTGTTAATTCTCTGGTCTAGAAAACAGATATTGTGAAAAAAAAATTATAATATAGACCCTAGGAAATGTGTGATTTGTACATTTTATAAATACGCTAATTTATTTGTAAATTTTTTCTGTTACTTTTAATTTATAACTCTGCGTTTCCTTAATTTATTTTCTTTTTCTCTCATCCACATAAATTTTTCTCAGGAATGTTGTAATTTTACATGTAACATCTTCAACGACCTTTTTCATCCATATTTTTTTGTTCGATTTTTTTTAGACTAGTTAATTTATTGCCTTCAGGAACAAATCTCAATTTCTCAAACTGCTATCTGTTACGCATATATAACAAGTTATGAATGCAAAAACTATGTATGCATGTGCCCATAGAACAGAGTTTCCAATTTTATCCGCCACTAAATGCAACTTGCATTGTTACTGCCTGTAAAAGCTTTAATGATAATAAATGTTCTTCTTTTCGAAAGATTTTCTCAATTTCAATTACTCAAATCCCGATTTTTTGATCAGACTTGTCGAAAATCATTCCTGTGTAAAATTTGCTACGAGGACCGAAGGTGCAATCCCGTTTGCTTGCTTGATCAAGAGATGAGCAAAACAGGGAGAGAAAAACAGATGAGGATATCTATGGCTCAGCATCTATTAAAAAATTCAGCATTCCATCCGAGGAACAAGCTCCTTCCAAAAAAAATCAATCTAACGTTCAATTACAATGTTTAGCTCAGTGACTTTCCGCACACGAGATTTTCCTCATTTTTAATCCCGTGCCTAGACCTTCCACAGTTCAAGGACCACCGGTTTCCGGCTCAAGGATTCCCTTCTTTTCCGCGAGATCGCGCTGTGTCATTAGCTGAACGTTGTTTTAGAGTACTTTGGCACCGTGCCGTAGGCGCATACACCAGAGGCGCTTAGTAAGTAATTACTTTGCTATTATTGGCCTCCACACGGTTGTCATGTGGCAACACTATAATGTAAATATGATCAAAGAAGACGGTATTCTTGCTACTCCTACCAGTATTCAGTGTTTTAGAATTTCCGAACTCCAGCAGGAAAGCTGGAAACCCCAACTTCAAGGCAATGATCATTGCCTTGAAGTTGGAGTTGAGAGTAAGCATTATCAGTATAAGTCCAAAACCAATCAAAGTAAAGGAAGACAACAATTATCTTCGCTTAAATTCTGTAAACTTAATAAATCTTCCTGAAGTATACATGATTCAAAATTGAAAAGTCACGTGCTACCAAGCTGGTGGGAAAATGCAGATTTACATCTACCAGTGAAAAAAAACTCTAGTCCTTTCGACAGCGTCTAAAAGGAGCGTCACGTAATCTCCTCTGAAAACAATTAGCAGAACAGTGAACGTTTTGCAAAATTGTACTTGATTAAAAACCATACCTACCATACCTAACCATGCGAAAATTCCTTACCACTGCCCCCATCATCTTCCAAGACGTAGGGTCGAAGGTACCCTTTTGTCAGAAGCAGGATCATACATATTTGTATGTTTGTTGTTTGTTTGTGGTGGTGTGATTAGTGACGTCTTCATTGGTAGCGTTGGTTTGAGCCTCGTTCTGATGTATTTTGACATCAATAAGTTAGGATGAGCACTGCATTTATTAATTTATTTTTATGGATAATCAGCATCAATTGAACTTTCCCATATTCTTATGATCGTCCAATTTTCCAATTTACGAACATTTAATTAACACTACGATAAAATAAATCTGGCAACCATTACTATGAGCCTCCCGCGACCAATCCGTTCGTTAATTATTTCGCTCTGCGAATAAAGACGTAGACGATACCCAATCATTTCATGCAATAAGGTCGCGTGTGAAAATTTGTTGTATCTGAAATTCTGACAACACTTTTTTGCTCACATTTTCCCGCTTTGCTGTGTAATTTGCCGATGTAAAATCGAATGCAAGGATTTACCAGCATAACTTGACAATAGTTGTGGGTGTCTAAATTCATTATAATCATAGTTTGCTCGTTCACTCTCAAGATGAATGGTTGCTCAGGAGGGGAAACTCTGAGTTTTAATCGCATGGTTTTCCCGCGGTTTGTTATTGTGTGAACGCATCAGTTTGAAATTTGAACACCAAAGATACGATGCTACCGTGCTTTGGTTTGAGAGAAAAGAAGGATTTTTAAAGGTGCATCGAATAAATTTTTATTTATTGGTGAATGAAGTGCGGTTATTTTTGCAATAGTTGTGGGAAATTGCTCACGGAGAGACTCCAGCATTGACTGACAATGATTTTTTGATGCGCATCGACTTTCCAGAGACACTTCCGGTGGCTTTGTCAATGAACATGGACAGTAAGTTGAATTATCTCAATGGCTGATTTTGTTTGTTTGACCGGATCCTACATCCATTATAAATATTTTTCGCCCAAGTAATAATTTTCGATTATACATGGGTTGCATTTTGTAAAAATAAAACAAGAGCATTACAACTTTGCTAGAATTGTGCAAGTTACATTCTTTGCAATACATGATACTGTAATTATACCAAAAATTAAATTTACAAGGGTAGGTAATTTTCGTCTTGAATTTATAGTTCACTGAAAGTAAATATAAAACTTGTTTAAATCATCAGTTTATATTTACAACGTAAAAAAAGTTGCACAATCTTAGCGACATTGAAATAATCTTGGTTCCTTTTTGCTAAATGCAATCCATATGGCCTGCTGGATGAGGACAAAGGTAGGGTAAATCTCACCTTAGCCTGCTTGGTTTTGAACCCAGATCGACTTTTGGATGGAGATGATTGAAGATCTGATTACTTTTACTCTTGTCCCTGAGCATTTACTGAAAGTATAGAAATAGAAATGTGAATGAAACAATATTTCTCGTCTTATCTCGGAAAAATCGTGATAGATTTTGAAGTGCTCACATAGGTTGAACCATATGCAACAGGCAGAGAAAAACTTGCAATGCCACAAGTTGAAGTATGAATGTTTTTTATCCCATCATCGGCGATGAGAAAACATGTTACTGCGCACGCACCAGAGTGTAATCTCAGCAGTAATCGTGATCACCTGACATCAAGTCGAAGCGATACCATTGAAGGCGCTCTGAGCAACTATTCCGCCACAGAGGTATTGCACAGTATCAGGCGAAAATGAAGGCGCTCTGCCGTGCGAAAATTGACTGAGTATCGTTTCCCATTGCGTAGAGTTACACTGATCCTAGGATATGCGGCTCATGTTCGATCCATTTTTAAGAAACTTGGTATCAGGTGGCATCTTCTGACGGAGAACTTGAATTTCAACTCAAATTTTCCAAAGTCGAAAATCTCAGATGGCTGACGTAGCCTAAAATGCCATCTCGGCACCTTTTCGGTCGATCTTAGTGAAATTCGGTATAACACGGGGTATTTTTGGACAGGAATTTCACTCAAATTTTCAATTTTTGAAAATCCAATATGGCGGACGTGGCTTCAAATGCTATTTTGACGCCTCCAAAATTATCCAACTGTTCAATTGTGGTTTCTATTCTTTTCTGTTAAGTTTCAAAATCAATGTACTCTCAGCTTATTTATACCTCACAATATGGGCACTCTCTTCACTAGACAGTTCCTTACGATATAAACATGTTCATGTTAAGTGATGGAGATACGTCGATGTAGAGATTAGCTATAAATATTAGAACTTCCGATGATGTATACATTTCTTTCGCTTGTAGGATTCCTGCTGTAACTTTGAAGCCAGGATACAGCCAGTTTTATACCTCTGAAAATTCATCAACCGATCAGAAACAACCTAAGCATTAAATTTGAATTCAACACGAAGATGCTGGACCGACTGCTACACGTTCTAGTTCTCTTAGCGTCCGCTTGGAGCGCTCTCGGCGCGGATTGCTCCTGGCAGGGCATCCCGTGGTGCGGACTCATCGGCTCCTGCGGGAAGGACCACTACATGCGAACAGGATTCAACCACGGGAGCTGCATCCTCCAGGTCACCAGATACTGTTGCCCGAAGAGCGACGGTGACGACGTCCAGGACGTGATCCTCTGCGAGCACGACCAGTTCAACGGCGACTGCATCGTGACGTCTCTGACGGGCGACAAGAAGTGCGTCAACGTCGAGAAGAGCGATTGGGCGTCGTCGGTGAACACGCTCGGCAAGTGCGTTCGACTCTACGAGCACGAAAACTGCGAAGGGAAGTCTAAGGCGTATTATCCGGGGAGCTTCGGACACGATAACCTGTGGGAGATGAACGATTTGGTGACGTCAGTCGGGTACTGCTACGACCACGACCAGGCCAAGGAGGGCTGCGATCGAGCCAAGCGGCAGATAGGTAAGTTCGAAATAGACTCATGAACACGTTATGTCAGACTTGAGGTGTACACATATCGAATATACAACAATAGTACATGGCCTTTAATGCCTTTAAACTTAAGGAGAATTTTTCTTTGCTTATAAAGAATATATTCACAAAATTTTAAGTTAAGAGTGTTGCTTAGTTTTAAAAAATAAAACATCATGAAGAAATTAGGCAACGTCTGATGTACTTTGGCTGATTCTAGCTAAATCCGTCCAGTTATCCGCGTGTCAAACGATGGGGACTCGCGGCGATGCTAATAACGCCTTGATGCAACTATTCGTACTTAATGGATGTCTATATTGCCTATACAATTAATTGAAGGCGTTTTGCTCACGGCGAATTGACTGGCTGGTAGCTGAGCCAGCCGGTAGCCAGGAAGCTCATTTTTTATCATGACACCAGAACGCAACTATTTTTGCTCAATAGATGTTTATTGTGGGGCATAACCCCTGGCCGCCTCGCACCCTTTATGTTGACAGAAATATTTGTGTTCTTGGGTTACTTCTGATTAGTATGGGAAGTTATACAACCAACACAAATTTTGTGTTGAATTTGGTACAGTTTCCGGTGAATTTAGCGCAGGAAATAATTGAGAGGCTGGAAAATAAATGCATTTCTCCGATTGCGACGTTGGTATTCACCACTCATTTTTTTTATTGAATTTCTTCAAGAAAACCAGGTGACACTTTTTCGTGAAATCGTCAATCGAAGGATAGGGTTATTTTGTGTTTCACCTCTCGTATTAACCAAACTTTTGTGTTGAAATTTCTCTCTGTGTAGGATTCCTGAACAGCTGTCTCGAGGAGACATCCCCCTGTACCTTCTCCTTTTTTGACAATCTTCAGTTTGACTTAGAAAATAAACACACTGGAGACTTTAACACAGCTATAGAAAAGTAAACCAATTCATGACGAACTCCCTACTCGTCCAGTCTGGATGACCATGATATCCATTTCGGAAAACATTATCTTTTCCAACACCTCCAATGAGTTAGGAAGCACACAGGGAGGCTTGGAGACTTAAACGCAGTGATAGAAAAGTAAACCAATCCATGAAGTGACAGTTCCCTATTCGTCCAGTCTAAGTGACCATGATAGCCATCTCGAAAAACATTCTCTTTTCCAACACCTCAATGAGTTAGGAACAGAGACAAGTTAGAAATCACACAGGGAAGCTTGAAGACTTAAACGCAGGGATAGAAAATTAAACCAATTCCTGGCGCGACAATTCTATTCGTCTACTCCATTTTCAACAGAAGGAACTAAGTTCCATGGCAAATGACCAAACTTTTGAAATTTCTGTTTGTGCGGACGCAGGTGGAGGCGGATGCCAATGGGCGGCGGACGTGCTGACGGTGGGCTTCCTGCCGTGGCTGCGGCGGATCCAGAACCCGAACCCGGACTCGGCGGCGCGGTGGTGGCAGATCGGGCACAACGACCGGGTGGAGTCGATGGAGGCGGTGATCGAGCGGCGGCACCTGGGCCGGGGCACGGACACGAACCCGGCGACGCGGGACTTCGCCCAGCAGATGGGCCGCTCCAACGACGACGCCGGGCACATCCTCGCCTCCCGGCTCGGCGGACTCGGCAACGACACGGCCAACATCTTCCCGCAGAGCCGCAACATCAACCGCGGGGTCTGGGCCCAGGCCGAGGCCGACGTCGCCAACGCCGTCCAAAACCGCGGCAGGGTCAGATACACCGTCAACCTCGAGTACGACGGCCGCTACGAGACCAGGCCCTTCAAGATCGTCTATAGGGTCGTCGATGATGCCACTGGGGAGGTCCTCTTCCTCAACGACCTGGTCAATCCCTAGTCGCCGCTTCCTCTGCCTCTCAGCCAAGAGATAAGTAAATGAACGTCTTTCTTCTAAGGCCTTGTCTTGTCCAAACGAGCGCGGTTCGCGGAACTCAGTTCGAGGAACTTGTTCCCGGAACAAGTTTTTGGCTGAGCTGGAACTTATTCCTCCAAAACCCGAAATTTCCCCCGTACTCCGAGCTTCTAAATATGTTTCTTTTGATATGAATTTGCTTGGTTTTGTTTTTTACGTCCTTTACATATCTTGAAATTTATTTTTGTTACTTTGGCGGTCGTAATAATCTATTATTTTGCAATAATTGTATAGTTTTATTGAAGTTCCGGTTCCAGTTCGGGCGAACTCGTGTGGACAGCATGCCTCGTTTCAAGGAATAAGTTCCGGGAACTGAGCAAGTTCGAAGAGTAAGTTCCGCGAACTGCGCTCGTGTGGACAGGGCCTAAATGGAACTTCAGACGTTTGGGAAAGATGGGGTGTCCTCGTGCAAGCAGCATAACGACGGTGTGAGTCTGCAATCACATAACTCGGTTTGCGACGTCGCAGACTTCCTCATACTTTATTTTTTAAACGGAAAACTACTTAACGGCACATCTTTAAAACTGCCGTGATTTTTCTTCTCTAAGAGAGGAAAATTCTGCAAAAACTTCAAGAGAGGATGTCAATTTGTTCTCCTTTAAAAAATAACGAAGAGGCGGAGATTTTCAGACACCGCAAACGGGATATGTGACTGCGGACTTACGCCGTCGATAAGAAAAATGGAAAAAAGGGAATTGACATTAAATAAAAAAGAGCTTAGCGCCAAAATATGCGGTTATAGGACATGTCGTCAACGATGTTTTGTCCGCGCACCTGTTTTTTCCAGTAATTTACGTCCACGCGTTTTTTCGGCACGGGAGTTTTGGTCCACGTGCCAGTTGAGACCCGAAATTAATTGGCCCACTTGTAAATACAAACGACAATTGCTCACGACGTTTTTGGGTGAAAATGTATAATGTTTTGGGAGAATGAGGGTTTGCTTCTTTTTTTGTTTTGTCTGTTTGGTCCAACGGAGAATAATATATAGTTGAGAGTTTTGGTAAAAATGGGGGAGCGTCAATTCCATGAGACAAATTTCACTAAAACTCTCTACACCTCTTTGGTGTGACAGGACTTAATTATCTTTCAAGAAATTCCCACCATGTTATACCTGAACCGGATAAACCTCTATATTTGCCTCAGCTAAAGGCTCTCAGGTTTTTCCTGTGTACGATAAGTATCTTGATTTATTTTGCGAGGAAAGATCTGTACTTTTAAAGGACACCTGTCATTTTTAATACGTTTAATTTCGTATTATACTGTGCAACACCTCTGTTGTGATGTGAAATATTTGCTTCAGGCGCCGCCGCACGGCGGGCGGGCGGCCAGCGCGTAACGCGTACTGGCGCCTACAAACCCAAGTGGATACTTCAAGCACTGTGCAATGCATGAAGTATCCACCTAGGTTTGAGCCTCTCGCACTGGCCTCGCGCTGCTAACGATGAGCCGTGAGTATGTGGCAATAGCGCTGTGGACAGGGCTCATGAGCTAAAGAGCGTTCCCGTCCCCGTCGTCGCCACTGGTGCTGTATACCTCCCATTCATTCTTACGGCCCTCGACAAACGAGCACACTCCTTCGTTCTGGCCCACCTCTGGTTCCGTTCAGCAGAAATAAAATCCGGGGATTAGGTACCTTAAAATTTATAAAATTAATTCAAATATTAATTCTATTTTTTGCTGATGATGAGAGAAGGATTAGACAGACTGAAAAAAAGAGAAGTTGTGGGTAAATGCATGATCGCCAGATTTATTACGACATTGAAAAAAATGGAAGAAAAGTAAAGATGATGATTTAACAACAATTTTATGGAAAGTATTTAGTTTTAATTGGTAATAAAACATAAAAACATTTAAGTCAGGCTTTTCCACAGGGTTGAATTGTACATGCTATTGAGTTATGATACACAGTTTGAAAATTGATGAATTAAATTAATGACTAGCAATAAACAAAATAATTCAAATGCACTTGCAACACTGGAAAATAGAGCTTAGCCAAGAGATGCTGATGAAAATGTAAGATGGCTTTTCACTGCTCTATGAGATGAGAGTACAACGAATGTAAACTAATTAAAAAAGAGGAGAGGGGAAAAAAATTAACTTGGGAAGTCAATAGTTTTTTAAAAGTTGGAAAAAGTGATTTTGGGCCCTTTTCATTCTAAATGCTTCATTCTACAAAATGATGCAACTTCTACAGCTTTTTGACAGTAATGTCAACAAACCAATATGCTCTGAACTTTATGTATAAATGTATCAAGTAGCACAGGTTGCAAAAATTTGCAATTATCAGGTAAACTTATTGCTGTTGTATCGGAGTGTTGTGTGTGTTGCCTGTTGTCTATGTGTTGGGAAAAGGAGCTCTTTTTATTGAACTTCGTTGCAGTAAAACTGAAGAAGTTGCGATTTTTTATGCCTTTCTAATTGCATATTATTTTCATCTCATTTCATTGATTGTTTAAAATTCACATTTATTGACCAAATGATAGACAAAAATTGAAATTTGAAAGTAAAAAAATGCAACCTATTACTAAATTGTAAAATTATTTAAATAATTTTGATGCACCGTGTGTTACCTACTTGAGGTGTCTGTGCACTAAAAATTGAGGACATTGCACCAAGAACAACCTATAACTGGAAACCGCGTTTTGAGAAAAACGCATTTAAAGTTTTGTTTTTTATGTACTGCGCAGACTTTTCTATGCAGGTACCCTGTTTTGGTGTTTTTGGGTGACCTAACCCTTCTTCTGAGGGATGCCGGGTAGATTTTGCGATACATTTTGGGTTTACACTCTAATATAGTTAATTTAAAAAAGCGGTTTATAGGTCGTTATTACGTCCAACAGTCATTTTGGTGGCAATATGCAGTATAAATCATTTTAATCACGCATGATTAACGCAAAATAAAAGAATATCGATGGTGAGTATAGAGAGGGGTAACTAGCACATTATAGGCCCTTAAATTTATAGGCCCGTATTACGCCCAACAGTCATTTTGGTGGCAAAATGCGAAGTATACATTTTTGGAGGAAAGTATAGTTTGAGAGGAGAATAAATTATTTCAATAGCTCGTTTTTCTGAAATAAAAACAAATCTTTATAAAATGAGATTAAAAAATCGAGCCATCACTATCGCCGCGCCGCGCCGATGCCCGCTAACCGAGAATGATAAGGCCGCGCGTATAGGTCGTTCTTGCACCCATCGATCCAGAGGCCTGACTTGCCTCGGAAGAAAAAGGTTTTTCGACCTCGAGACGTTACCTATCTATATTCTATCGCTACCACAGCATAGTCCAGGGTACGTGGAATCCGAAAAGCAGATTGGCGTAATAACGACCTATACGCCTATAGGTTGTTCTTGGTGCGGTGTCCTCAATTGGCAGTGACAGTTTAACTATAAACTCTACTCAACACCGAGCAAGAGCTCCGGTTACAAATTTTTTCTTACTGATTAGTGATTGCATAGTATCAAGGAAAAAAGAACAGAAAGACTGGTCCAAAAATAGTTGAAATCAGTCTATCTTCCCATAGAAATGTTTATTTTAAAATGATGGTAACTGAGTGACTGAAATAATACAATCAATGGCTAAATGCAGAAATGCATATCTCACTTGCAACGTTTAAAAAACTCCAATTATGTTTTATTTTCATTAAGGAAAACTAATCAGTATTTTTCCATGCATTTTTTAATGATTTTGTGAGTATGCGTGAAAAAGATTCATGGAAAATTTTAATAGAAACATTTGGTTTGTTTTTTCTTTAAAAAAAAAAAAAAAAAAAAAAAAAAAAAAAAAAAAAAAAAAAAAAAAAAAAAATTACAATAGGCACAAAGACTTTCTTTCGTCACAATCTGAAAAAAGTATTTTTCAACTTATTTTTAGACATCAATATGAGGTTCCTTTGAGTCTTGAGTGGTGCAGAGCCTAAGGATGAAATTTTCAAACACACTCACAATTGAATCAATTTAAAATATTATTAATGGAAGGAGTCAGTCTTAAAGCACTGAATTTAAAACTACAAATATATAAAAAAAGGAGAACCTGATTAAAAAACAAGACCAAAAAAAAGGTGGACATATTCACAAATGTAAACAGATCAAACTTCATCGTTGCTGAAAATATATTTTAGAGACCCTGCGCTAAAAATCCAAGCAATAAAATCGTTCTAGCCAGAAGTTAAGTTCAGAGGTTAAATCAAATGATGATTAAACTTGTTGAGAATAAAATTTGCCAGATGATGAGTGTTGAAATAAGTACTTTGCTAGGCGAGTTTTTACAAATTAGGTCAACTCGTTGGTCGTCTGGAATTATTAGGCGAATCTGAGTGCCCATACCTAAAAGAATAAGGGAATAGTCGTACAGGGAAGACAGCAGCAAGGGGTCTCTGAAATATAGCGTATCTGCTGTAGTGTATGTGTGGCTGACATACAGTGTTTGTTTCAACTGTTAGCCAGATTATACAGGGAAAAAACTGGGCTTTAGTACAAGCTAACTAAACTGGGCGTATTAAAAGTTACCTGGCAAAATGCAAGTAAAATTTTTATCAAAAAATCTTTTGTTACGTATCAAAATATAGGTGTAAATTACTTTTCAAAGAAAATTTCCACCGTATGAGTGGGTAGTTTTAAATAGAAAAAAAATTTAAATACTTCATCTTTTTCATCAGCAATAGCTCTTCCAGAAAAACAAAAAATTAAAATCTTTAAAATTAAATTTGGCAGTTTGATTATATCTGAATAAACTAACAGCAAATAATAATAATAGTAAAAAAATTAAAAGCACAGTAACCTCAGACTATTATGAAGTTCATCATGAAAGTATATAAAATTTTTTAAAGAAATTCTATTGAAGTTAAAACAATACGGATAATGGATAATTTTTTGAGAGTGTAATATTTGTACTTAGCACTTGTGTGGATAGCAAAAGTTGTAAAGAAGGAGATGAAGAATTTTGGTCACATTTTTCATTTTTTGCAAATTATTTGTGACATTGAATTACCTAAATATCAAGGAAATATTTTTAAAATTAATCTAAGGGTTGTGATCCAACAATTTGGCACGAGAAAAGAAAGCTACACTAGATGGCGTGTATTGTAACTCCTATCTGAGAATCTTGGTCATCTCTTACGCTTGTCATGACACATGGCTTGCACATCTATTATCTAGTTGATTGCCTAATTCTTAATTACTGAAAAAAAAGGAAATGTGTGATCAAAATGCAAAAGCACTACTCGGAAGGAAAAATTTAAGGATCTGTCACGGAAGGAGTTGAAGGATTTAGGATGCAATTGCATTAATCTTGCTGTGGATAGCAGAGTTGACTCAGTCTTTCTACTCGTTTTTCAAAATGCTCAATTCAAGCGTTACTCAATTAAAACTGAAAGTAAATAAAGAAACTAAATAAAAATGGTAGCAGTAACAGCATGTTTGAATTCACCATTCTACCAATAGCTACAACATTAATCAAGCATTCAAAATAATCAAAGATGACGTCCACAGAGAAAATAAGGAAAGAAAAAACATAAATTAAATCCTAATAACAATGAGAGTTAAGCTAAATTATAAATATTATGTGATGGTGTCCAGAAAGAAGTATCTACACGCATTTGTTTACAAATTTTACAATCCTGCCAGTTTGAATATCAAACTATCCATACATTCATTGTCATTTCAATGATTAATATTGCTAAATATTGGAGATATGAAAATTATAGCTACACTTTCATACAATTATATAAATATATACATATTCATTTTTACAAATACTTGGCGCTCTGCACTAAAAAGATTTAGAAGTCCTGTTCAAAATCTGTATACAGGTTTAAAAAGAAAAATGAAAAATATTAATTCCTTTATCTGAAGCTAAGAACAAAATTCTCGCTAAAAATACTGAGCAAAGAAATGTTGTGTACCACTGAACAAACTTAATGACACAATACCAAGCTGAAACTATTGACTTAAGCCTCTGAGTGCTTGTAAATTTGACTTTCCTCCAGTCATTTTTCTCCATTTGACTAATCGATAGCAAATTAAAATAATATGTACATATATTATAAATAATATACAAAAATTGTACAAAAACATTGTGCTAAATTAAAAAGCTCCGTACTTCTAAAGTTTCTTATATGCTCATTAGCACGGTCAAAGGCTTTTTGTAACGATAGTCTGGCTGTCGAAAGATAGGAGGCAATACAATTTTTTCTAAAAGTTTGTATACATTTGGAGGGCCTCTTAAACTTGTAGACGAGCCTGGCCCTTCTTGCCCTTCAAGATTTACATCTGTACAAAATTAAAAAATGAATTCTTTTTAATATATACTCATAAATAGAAGACAAATATAATGCCTTGAAATGCAACTAATTGACTCTACATTCAATATGATGGCTGAGTGCAAAAAATGCATAACTCAATTGCCACATTTCAAAATTTCCGATTATCTTTTACTTTCTTCAACGAAAAATCTTTCTTCCCAATTTTGTATGGTTTTTCTAGAATGAGTGAATAAATTCACAGATGAAAGAGACAGCCAATAGAGACTGTGTTCTGTAAAGAAAAAAAAAAGAAAAACCCATACATGAATGGAGACTTACTATGTCGCAATCAAAGCTATACATTTTTCTTCTTCAGCCATTGATTAGCTAAAGTTAGAAGATTCAATTTAGAATCTAAAAAAGTTGACCTAGGAGAAAAAATTTTACCTAATAAGTAACAAATAATTGGCATGACATTAAGGTGGAGCAAACGTCACACGAAATATTTACTAAAAAGAATGAGATCGTTTGGCAGATTTAAAAGAACGACAGCAAGCCTAAAGATTCATATTCCCCTCTCACTTTGTTAGAAATTCCCCCATTTCTATAAATGTGTAGTTTTCTGAAAGAAGACAGGGAACTTAATCAAATAAGAAGTTTTTGAATGAAGTTCTCCGTACACAATTTCACATGTTGCATCTCATGAGCCATCAGGTAAAAATACAATTCTAACTAAAGGATTTGTTCTAACAATTTTGATAGCTCTATTTGAGAAACTATTGCAAACGTCTTTCTGAAAATCTCAACATTCCCTCTTTCAAGATCAGGCTCCGACTGGCCGAGGTAACTCAACAACTGTCACAGCCTGGGGCTGCCCCTAACGCTGTCCCAACAAAATTTAGGATTGACTGAAAAGGACAGCAACACTCCCAACAGTGAGCTTACAGGCTCCTTGGAAATAGCAGAACGTCCTTCTTTCAGATATCTTCGGAAAAATTTGGACTACTTTTAGGGGAGGGGCAAGGAATATTCTTTTTTGGTATATTGTGGCAGGAAAGACAAGGAATGGATAACTTAAAATTGCCGCTCAGTGTGCACAAAAATGTGAAAATAATTCATGATAATTCAGACACCATTATGACCGGCAACCACATTGCTCCATTCCTCATATGCTAACAAATTGATTTTTGACTGATATCAATTTACCATTGTGCTTGAAATTACATATTATGTACCGACATGGAATATTTGGTTCTTTTCCTTTATTGCCAGACTTTTTTTCATACTCTCACTTACAAAGACCCGATAATCCATCCGCTATCAGGTTAGTCGAATATGCCAAGCTCTTCTTTGGTCCCCTCCCTTGGGGGTCAACCAGAGCCACAATCTGAAAACCGTTCAATTCATCAAATGGTAAAAAGATGAATGTTATATTGATTAAAAAAGAAAAAAAAGAAAATGGCCTTTGAGCCCAAAAATGCTCTTTTGGTCAGGCAGTGCTTCGAGCATACATTTTTGAGTATTTCAAGATATAGTAAAAATTCACTCTGATGTTTTCTTCCATTGACTGAGCTCGATTCTGGCACAAATCAGTCGAAACATCAGCAGCCGGAAGAGTGCATTGTTGAAGTCATGAAGTTCATGCCACATCAGCTTCTAGACGAAGATTACGGTGGTAAAGTATCGAGCTTTAAATCGTGTTCTGGCCTGCACGTTCCACAGTACCCTCCACACCGCCCTACAATACTTCGATTGTCCTACAAATAAACAAAAACGAATAATAGAGTAATGATTGAATTTGTGATTTAAAAAAATAAAAAATTTTATTTCGCAGGAATTTTTCTGCAAATTGAAGAACTAAACTTAGGTGTCCTTCCTCCCCAAGCCCCAAAAGGTTTCTCTATGCAATGTAATTATACTGAATATTATGTTTGTTCCCTCTGTTAGATAAATAAAATTTTATCGGTTCAAAATTTTCGATTACCTATACCATCCTTTGTTAGATCTTCAAAACAGAAAATTCTTCTCATAATTGGGCTATATTTTGCAATTTGGATCTACAATCCCAGGCCGCGTTTAGCAACAATGTATGTACCATTAGTTTCCCTATGCAAGATAAAGATGAGCTAGATATTGTAGTTCAGAATTGCAAAATGTAGTCCAATCCATCATTAATGTTGAAGTGAAAATTTGCCGATGAAATTGTGAGCAGTCACGATGCATCATCGCAATGCATGGTGGTGGCATTCTTACACCTGACTAAACCTGAAATCCAAATCATTTCTTAATCGATAGCAAAAAATTGTTTAAAAAAATTGGAAAACTTGAGGTCTTAAAGAGTTTTACTACCTCTAAGTGGTCAATCTGCTTATTAGACCAAGTTCCAATATTGGTCCATTGCGTCTGACTTGACACTCTCAAACCAGTTCCTCGAAGATCAATGCTGAAACGGCCTTGTGGACATCTTAATTTACTATAGCAGTCTCCTGCCTCTCCAAAATAAACGGGCATTCCGTAGAGTTGTTTTGCAAATGTAAAATCATTCCCTGGAAAAATCAGATCAAACAGCATTTTTAAAAAAAACCCTTAAAAAAAAGATAATATGCCAACAAATTCATGTTTTTGGACAAAAATGTCTAAAAATTATGGAACTCAGTAAAGAGGGGGCTTGCTGATTATATTCTGAAATCTTTTGACTAATCTAATACAGAAATTGAAATATCGAATGCAAACTTTTCCTGTGATTAACGTTAGCTGCAATAGCTTTGACTTCTTTTAGCTTGTCTTATGAGCCTTATCCCTGCAAATGAAACTAAGAAACACTCAAAATGTTTAGAAGACAAAATAGAAAATGCCATGACTTACTGATAACAGTCAGAGTGGTGACATTGAGCCGAACTTTATGGAAAACAGTTAATCCTCCTCTATTGGAATCATTGATACAAGGGCAATTGTCTTTCCTTTCTCCACCATAAGGGCAAGATCTTGGATCCATCAATCTGTAAACACATTGAAATTGGAAATTTTAACTTGTCAGAGAAAAATCAACGTATTCTGTTTGGAGAAAGTTTGAGTCTAAACTTTCTCTTTGCCAAAAATACCTATTTCTTTATGCTGGACCTTTTTCAACAAATCAATGAGTGTAATGTATCACATGAGAAAAAAATAATAAAATAGTCTAATTATTTGCCGTATGATTGGATTATTTAGGATGACTAAATTTACCAACATTTTAGGTCATATTCATGAGCGAGGAACATTAAACGCTAATCTCACTCTCAAATATGTTAATTATTTGTGTTTTTGGTATGTTTTATGTATTCTTATTGAAATTTAGACAGAACAAATTATCCAGTAGTGTTTAAATGCTTAATCTGTCTAAAAATTTATTCTGATATGATAACTGGTAAAATAGCAGTGGTTGGTTTTTGTAATTGATGTGATATGAAGGAAGCAATCAATAAAACTGATGCATAAAAATTTACCTGGGACCGTATATTTCGGCATAATTTTCACCAGACGGTAGAGAAAGAAACTCTTGTGGATTCTCTGACTTCATATTATGGCAAAATATTGAGATATTGCGACCTGCAACTGTCATGGGATATTCTCTGTCTTCCTTTACTCCCAATTTTTCTTTAACAGCTAAGCAAGATGACAGACTACCTGTGAGAGAAAAATACCTTTGAAATGGGTTCAAATAGTATAAATGAAATCATGAAGAATTATTTAAAAGTTCCATCCTGATGTGCACAAGCTTTTTACAAACTTCTTGGCAGTAAAATAAAGAGTTGGAAACCTAAGTTAATCAAACTAAGTTAACAGAGCAAGTTAATCAAACTGAGTTAACAGAGCAAGTTAATCAAAACTGCTTTGAGCATCCGCTACAAGCTTCTGATCAGCAAAGATAAATTGTCCTCACAATCTCCACTCCCAGGTCGCTACAGGATTTTGAAAATGTAATTCTCTAACAATTTCCTGATATCCCTGACAAATTTTGGTAAAATTCCTTGACATTGGAGGGTACACAGGATTGTTGAAATGACATAATTTGAAATAGATTTCACACTGCATTAATTACTTGGAACGTCCATTACATGCTTGAAAACAAATAAAGGTGAGTTGACGATTGATCCTTCACACTTTGGTCATTTTTTCCTGACAGTGGTAACCTTGTGACACTCATCACCAAATCAAAGTTGAAAAGACTTTTTCTCCTGTTGGATCTGTGACTAAAATGACCTGAGCTCAGGTAAAGGCTGCAAAACTGAACTGATGAATGCAGAGAACAGAACTCTTACTCTCCACTCTATTTCAACATCACAAACTACATGTACGCACACTTAGTATTGTTCTAGGATTGATAAAATCTTTCCTTCCACGGTAGCACTATAAATGAACATTGCTTGCAAGAAAATTTTCCTACTACAATGATCTAACAAGATTAGACCCATTAGCATGACTATCTCATGACAAAATGCATGCAGATAAAGCATTACAATTTGCGGGAACGGAATCTCACGTTTAAAAAAGGGCCAGGAAAATAAGGATTTACAAGATAATATGAAGCCTTACATCTTTTTTGGTTACATTTCCTCTTCCTTGCAGGTTTGAAAATATTCATTGTTGGTTCTGATGCTGTATTGCAGAGGGAGCGGCGGACTTTTTTGCGAGTCCGCTGGTCGTAGCAGTATAGTTTCCTCCTCTGCCGGCCTTTCTTCCCGCAAGTGTGTGAACACTGAATAAAACAAGAATATTAAAGAGATATGAAAAGAGGATGTAAAAAAGGGATAAAAAAAACAAGAACAGAAATTACTGAGAGAGAATGTTCGGAAACTGACTCAGGTTATTAATTAATTGTTTGCTAAAAAGAAGAAAACAATTTGTATGAGAGACCATGATGGTCGAAGGTTTTTACTTCAGTAAAGTACCATGAAAGTTACTTCTCATTTCTTTTTATGCTTCTTGCCCCTGCGAATAGACTGTGTACCACCTTATAATTATTATGTGGAAAAAAGTTAACACCATAAATCTAAGAGTAAATTCTTTATGACTTAAGTGATTTTTTTCTTTTCATTGAGTAGCAAATAATATGTGCAAGACATAACTGCCCCTCCACAAACCAATAATGTAGGTTCGTACTTGCTCTCTTTTAGTTTCCTGCAACATGGTTTTTGCTACACAAACGATTCTCTTCTACAGTTGTATTGCACCATCAAAGCAAATAAAAAATTCTGCAGGAAATTATAAAATTTTGAGTCAGACCGTATTCAGTAATAATTGTCGATTCTTTAGATTATTTAATTTTATAATTAGCAAATTCTTACAGCTGTCCATGGACCGGGAACAAGGAAATAGTTGGTATTACAAACTTCTACTTGGCATGACTGTTTAGATGGTGGTTTGTTTTTGAGATCACACTTTTCATTGCTGACTAACAAAGTTTGTCTCTTGTGGATTCGCTGACACTTCACTTCTCGATACTGCACTCCTGGTCCACAACTGGTTGAGCACTGTAACAAAACATTTCACAAAAAGGTGAAAAACTGAGAGCACTAGAATCACTCAGGATCTAACAGTTTGCTGTACACGCTCATCACTTCCATTTCAATCCAAAAAATTTATGGCATCCAAAACCATTGTGTCGACAGTTTTTAATTGATAAATGGGTGTAGGATTTCTAGAATCTTGAGAGATACAGGTGCATATAGTTTTTTTTTTTGCACTAACAATAAATGAAATGGAAAAACAATCCTGACTAATTTTCCAGTACTTTTAGACACCTGTCATTTTGTAAGATACATACAATTTTGGAAGAGTCCCTGTTTAAAGATAAATGTTACTTTTTTTTTTGAAAGGAGAAGGAGGGGAGCTCTTCTCATACTTTTGAAAGCATTGCAGCTATCGGTCTCTAAGATCATAACCTTACGATAAAAAGTGGACAAACACTTTTGGACAATTCCCGATCCAATTTGATCCTGTTCACTGAAATCTACCCTCATTTACATTCTTTGCCTTGTTTTAAAATAATTACACACGTCAAAAAAAGATACAATAAAGAAGAAATGAAATCGAGAACATTTGATAAGCAATACTAATTCTCCTCCCATTCTAAGGAGAGGTTGCCACTTTGAAAAAAGGTTATTATTAAGCTCCCACCTTCTGCAAAAATAGATCAAAATTTTAACATGAGGATTTAAGAAATTAAAACCCTGGAAAATTAAAAATCGATAAGAGGACAAAAGTCGAGGACAAAAAATCGATATCCACTCAATATGAGTGAATAAAGGTATGCAATGGCAGTAGACATGTAGCATTATTCACTCTGGAACCATTTTTCTTTCGATAAATTGTCTCTTCTCCGACTTGAGAGCATAACTCGATTTTCAGTAGAGCCCTGGAATGCATGGAGTTATGAATACAGCAGGGCTCGATTCAAAATGCGGTAACGCCTTTAAATTAGAAAAGCAATAGAATGAGTGACATTGTCAGGTATTTAAGGATTCAGCAGCACATAAAAACAAAAATGTGATTAGATATAAGTTCAGGCTTCCTCAAAAAAAGGCTACAGATAAAGTGCAAGCCTTCTTCGACTGACATAGAATATACACAATCATGCACCAGGGACAGAAGTCTATGAGATGAGAGTGAAGAAAACAGGTACCATATGCCAAGACTCACCTGAGACCATTCTTCCATGACCCATTCGTTCGGGCAAGGAGCTCTCCGACACTCTCGTGTATCTCGTGGCTTCCGTTTGTCTTTGCAGTATGTGGGTGAAACTACATCATTTGTAGTTGCATGAACACAATAAACTGAGCGTTTGCGAGTACCAGGGCCGCAGTTTGTAGAACACTTAAAGCCACAATGTAAAAAAAAAGAAACATATAATAAAGAGAAGACATTCATTTTGGAAGGAGATGGCAACAAGAAAGATGGGAGAGTGGTGAAATCATAAAATAGAATCTTGGCGACAGAATGAAACGATTTTCAAAATATTTAATTTTAAAAAATGTGCTGAGGAGAGAAAATTTTTCACAATATTTGTTAAATAAAAATTTCAATATTAATTAAATTGCTAATAAGCCCACAGAGTCTTGTCCAAATGTTTCTACCAGAATATTTAAAAAAGCTGAGTACAAATATTTACGCGTTAATCAGATCCAGAAATTTTTTTTTCAGCGACCACAGGGTTTTGAGAGGAAATGAAGACATCCACTTTGAGGGAAATAAAAGAGGAAAACATGAACAAAACAAATTAAATTTACGATTAAATTAAAGATAATAAAAGTTAATGTATGTGTTGATTACATGTTAATGCACATGTTAATTTGCAATTAACATTTAAATTTTAACAAGCAAACATGTATTGACATTTTTACTAGGAGCACTAAGATCTGCGAGAAATTAGTTCAATAAAAGTCACAGAAGAAAGAATATTATGACAGAAAGGTAACTCCCAACCCAATATTAGTATACGACATTCAAGTGCCTTTAAATGTTAGAACTCACAGGCACTTATAGGAAAAATTCAAAAGGAAATAGAAATGTATAAAAGGGAAGATATTGGAAAGAAAAAAAGGACAGAGAGAGGAAAAAGACAGTAACCGAAAAATTCATGACAGTTACTTTACCTGTCCCCAAATCGACGGTTTCCAAATGTATTTCTTTCCATCATCTGGACATGGCTCTAAATTACATGGTTGAATCTGTGCAGGTTTTACAGTGTGTGAGCAACTTGAGTCAGGTTTTGCAAACCCTAGCATTGATTCCTGACACCGCACTTGACGATGTTGAAAACCACCTCCACAACTCACATTGCACTGCAACAAAAAAACACACATGAATGAAATTATCATGCTCATCACACTAGAAATATGGAAAAAGTACAAGATGATTCACAAATATTTATTTTCCCAGATGAGAAAACTGTAAGCATAAGCAAAAAATAGATGGAAGGCGATTTGGTTTCAAGAAGATTTGATTTACATACATACGGACAAATACTAATTGGTAACGAGCTTAAAATGTCCTCCATAGCTCTAGAAATTAGTTTCTACTAAAAATCATAGCAAGCAATTTAAGAAAGTATATGCTTTAAAATCATATTATTGTTGAAACTAAGATTATGGAATTCAGCAGAGGATTCATCTAAATATAATCTCAACTGTTTTGGATTATCATTATGGGGGCAATAATGAAACCTCCATGATGTCTAATATGCAATGGAACACACAGTGCACATCAGAAAATCCTCTTTTCAATAAACTTGATTGACAACTGATAAAAAACAAGTTACAAGTTGAAGTACAGTTTAATTCATGAAATGAAGCAAAATCAAATGATGCTTCAAAAAAATCTAAAAAATTAAATCCATGATACATTAATTTATCTTATTTACACTTTATTTGAATTTTACACAATACCATTCTGGAGTGCTTGCGAGATAACTTACTTGAGACCAGTCTCCAAAATTCCAAGTTGTTTTGATGCATGGCTGTTGGTTACAAGGTGCAGTAGTTTCAGGTTTGTTAGACATGTCGCAAGCAGTGCTCGGTTGACCATCTACTTGACAAATAACTTGACGTGACATGAAACCTCCATCACAGGGCTTTGAACACTGAAACCAAGGGTTTTAAATTTACATACAGAGAACTCGCGCGGTAAAAAAGAATATACATGGAGCTGTTTTAGCAAATAGAGATGGTAAAGTTTTACCATCAATTGATCCGTCTTCATGAATGGTTAGAGAAAAGGAGGCTCTGAGAAAGAAAAGAGAGAGATGGAAAAGTAACTCTAAAGAAAAAAGAATACTTCTATAAGAGTTCAGTTATAATGCTGTTAGCAATAGAGACTTTTTCAAAGAATAAATTCATGCAAAATGCAAAGTGAAATAAAAAGTTTATGATGTTTTGTAGTGAAGAACAATTTTCGATTCTTAGCCATGACCCTTCAGTCGGAAAATCCTAGCCCATACACCAGGGAAAGAGGATGGTTAAATGCTAATACGCCAATAGGCAGAGCTAAGTGAGGATTCAGAAGACAGGAAAAAAAACAAAAAAAAAACACACACACACACAAATGATCAGTATTAGATCAATGTCTTTTTACGTCACCACATTTAAGTATGTAGCTTGGATATCTGATTTACCTGGCTCCAAGCACCAGCCAACCATTGAGCTGGAATATTACTTTCAGCACTGCACTGTTTTGCAGCCTCACAAACTGTTTCAGTTAAAGGTTTTGGTTCATTGCATTCTTGTTCAGGCAGAGGCAAACCGCCTGAAACTGAAATACATGCTACTTCTCTTGTCGAAGTGCCCTATAACAAAAATGGCAGAAAAGAGAACAGTCAGAGAAGAGCAGAGATTAGTTTGAAAAATTAAAAATCATGTTACATTTGAGCTTGAGATTGAAAGATATTCTGAAGATGTTAGGAAGGGAGAGACTGATTAACTGATGAAGAGAAGTTCTGAGAAAAGAAAAAGAATGCAATCAAGCATATCAATTTCAGTTGAAGTTCGCACCACAATATTACGTGGAGGTCTGGTTGGTCAGTATTTATGCATGCAGGATACTAGCACTGGTTATGAGATTCCCAATTCATCCCTTCATGATGGCATGACTTTCCAACTGTGCAGTACAACTTCTTATTTCCATGCGTCAGTTGCACGTGTCACAGAAGAGTTTGTTGATGATTTAAGCTTAGAAAGTAGCCGAAAAAATAAGATTCATTTAAACGCTAAGTTTTTACATCCAGAATTAATGGAGATAATGCCCATGTAAAAACACAACATATGCTGCAATCCACCATGGTGGAGCATACTATGGTTTCATCCACATTTTACTTCAAGCAACCAGTATAAATGTACATATCATTAACTAATGAATCGAAGGAGGAAAAAACCATGACATGCACTATTGCGGTAGATGATGTCAAACACCGTTTGTTTAGATGAGCAATATCTTTGTTAATATCAGACGTAGTGACTCGGCGTTTGAACAAATCTTACTATATTTTGCTAATTCATAATCTTAAACCACCAAACATGATTCTATGACTAGCAAAATAGACTCATTATTAAAAAAATGAGAGGCTTGTGATTTGTTTTCAAGGCGACAGTGAAAGTATTGTTCTATATTACTGTTTTGTTGCCTGTGGCTCGAGTTTAGACCTCATTAATACCTCATAGGAAATTCAATAAAGAGCAAGTTCTTGAGAAGATTTGCATTCATCTGAAAACTTGCAATGATAAAAAAGAGCCGTGTTAATCTTTAGACAGGAGATTAATACTTTGCTTACCTGCTCACAGCTAACTGAGCAAGGTCCCCACTCACTTATATTCCAAATACCGCAGGATGTTACGAAACATGATTCTGTCTGTCTTGGCTTCTCGATTGAATTGCAATTGCTGTAATCGGATATTTTTGAGGCGATTTCATCATAACATATTGCAGATCTCCTTCTGATGCCTTCGCCACATGTTGTTGAGCACTAAAATTGAAACAAGCAGAGTAAAATAATTACTGCAGAAATTAGGATTATTTTGATCTATATCTTCAATTGAACCCTGAGTTAAAGGATCAAAGATTTTGAAGACACAAAATCAAAGATCAATTGAATAGATTTAACCGGAATCATACTGACTGCGATTCATGCTGTTTAATTTTCCCTCAAAATTTTATGTTTTTAACAGAGACAACAACATAACACCTTGAAATTTTGTTTAAATTTCCATCAGATTAGGAAGAATACTCTCACAAAACTCTGAATTTCAGAGTTCCTTTTTTATTTTTGTTTAAAAAATAAAACATAAGAGACAATTAGGCAACATCTGATGGAGTTAGGCAGATTCCAGGTAAATCTTCTAATCAATAATTTAAAAAAGAATAGGAGTCACAGAATGAAACCGTAGCTACTGAAAACAGTTCCCTAATGTAGATCGGCTTTGATAACTGTTCTGAGGTCTTGTACAGTATCACTTTAATCATAATATGACATTGACTTACAATTTAAAAATATGATTCATAAAGTGAAACAAAATAATTACGGCAGTATATTTAAAGTGGGGTGGGTTCTGAAGATCACACATCTTGTAACACATATTGCGTATCGCATATTGTCTAGGCTGTGTGTGGAGTGAAATGCAATGAATAGATACTCACAGGTTCCCAGTCACTGTATCGCCAATTCCAACGGTTGAGTTTGTAAATTGCATTGCTGTCCGGTATCTCATTTTCATGAACACTTTGACAAGGATGCTCATAACATATTTTTGTGTCATCTGGTTTCAATTCTTGCAAGCAATCGTCATCGTTTCCTGAGCTGCATTTGACAGGCCGTGTTATGATACCCTCTCCACAGGTGACAGAGCACTGAAAGCAATTTGATTCGATCAGACTTACTAGTGGACAAATGAGTCACTTGAAATAAAGGGGCAAAAAAGCAGACATTAATTGACCTTTCAGCTGATAACCAGACTTTTGTTTCCTCGAAACACCATCTTGTCTCCTCAGACTGACAAAATTTGAAAATTTAGAAAAAATTTGTCCTGAGTGTTGTTCAGCAGCGACAGTAGGTGGCTTGAGGATCGCACTTTTGTGTTGTGCCTTGTGTCGTGTTCATGACGACATTTCCATGCCGTCTTGGATTTTGCAGGATGCTAGGCTGGCTGGGCTTACTGACGAGTGTGATCTACTGTTGAGGTTTAAACGTACCCAAAACGTTACAGATCTCTCGGTGTGACCTCAACTTAATATTCCAATGCGAGCTGCTTGAACTAAACACTCTACCCCTCAGTCTTGTGCTAGTACTCATTAGGGATCAACATTTTTTACCCTGATTGAAATTTTTTAACTTTTAGGCCTCCTTTTTCCTGAAAAATAGTGTGGACTCAGCACTATTTTACCACCTTGTTACAATAAGAAGTGCTGCTCAGAGATGTGCCAGTGTGTTTTGTGCAAAGAGAACTTTTCTTTTCAATGTGTAACTATCAGATTTATTTGTACTATTTACGATTGTGAATCATGGTTTTTTTATTCTTGAATTTGATATTTTCTACTTACGTAAGACCAGGGTCCTTCAATCCACTTTGGACAAGATTGCTTGTTACAACTCTCGACTTCTGATGGCTTCACTTTAAGAGGACAGTTGTATGGCTCAACGACTAGATTATTAATTTGGCACCAGATAGATCGTTGTCTCTTACCCATTCCACAAGAGGCAGAACACTGAAAGAAACGAAACACATTGATTCAAAGATATGCTCCATTAAAATTTTTGTCGATAGAAGCGATAGAATTGAAGCGCTGAGTGCAAGAAGGGAACTTCTCAGTCCCAGTGCTTCAAGAATCTTGGTTGATATTTCATCCATTGTAGGGAAAATAAATAAATGCATTTCATTGGCATTTTTAATGAATATTTTTAACGAATCTACTATGTTCTGTAGAATAATTCCAGCTAAATTGCCCATAAGATTCTTCCCTACGACATAAATTAGAGATAGAGATTTTGAAACGCTGTCACCGAGTAGTGCCCTTCTTGTACGCTCAATTAGAAAGAATGAATTCATCATTGAAAAGATTACTATTGAAATACGCAAGTTAAATTAAAATTTATACATTTTCAAGTTTATTCATGGATATAATTAAAAAATTCAAATTTTTACTAACAACTAGTGCTTGCTCTGAGAATTACCAGTGCACCAGTTGAATTAATATGGAGATAATATAGATGATAAAATGCTTTAGAATTTGAAAAAGAGATGAGATACATATTATGTGATGCAACTTTTAAGTTTTCGCCAAGAAAAGTACTTACTTCACCCCAGGATCCAACCGACCATTGAGGGCATTTTTGAGTAGCACACGCTTGTTTGTCATATTTATCCGATGGGCTACAATCAGTTTCTGGCAAGGGCTCATCGTTTTCATCAACGCACTCAGATTGACGAGTTTGCACACCTGCTCCACAAGTCTTGGAACACTAAAAAATGTGAAATAAACTAATAAATGCATAAGGGTGGACTATTTTTTATGGAAATCAGTAAACGAGGAATTAACATTGTGATTTTCTGAATAGCTCACAAGGAACATTTGGTCTCATCTCTTTAAATTGTAAAATAAATACAACTAATAAGCAGGAGAATGCGTATTAAGGACACTTCAAGCCTGAAATCATATACCTACAGGGAAAGATCCATGCAAAACCATTAAATATTTTAATGAGATCTGGTCTAGAGACAGAAGTACATGATGCCCTCGAGATTTTAAAGCTTCTATTGGACAAAGATTATGGTTCAATTTGCCTTACCGCTCCCCATTGTGAGTAGCGCCATCTACCACGATTGCAGGGACCATTGCATGGAATGTCAGTTGGAGGTTTCGGCAGAAAATTGCATGTGCTGTTATTTAGAGGTACAGGTGAGGAGAATGGATGATGAAAATGTTGAATGCACTGCACTCTGAGTGTTCGATGACCACTTCCACACATGGCAGAGCATTCCGACTGACTTACAATCAACCATCTATAAAAAACAAAAAAAACATTTCAGATGTAGGGAAAACAGGAAAGAAGGAAATTAAAGAGGGAATTTTTTAAACTTTAAATGTAGTTACTTCTGTAGATGACTATTTAGTCATTGGTTCCAAAAGAGAGGATTTAAGAGGAGTGTTAGAATTTAAAATATGTAGTGCCGATTTTTCAAAAATCTAAGATGAAGGATCGAAGCGAGATTGTAATTTTTTATCCAAAACTTATCACAAAACGGTAATTTGAGGGGGGCAGACCAAACAGAGCGTTACACAATGTTTTCAAAGGGATGCAGACCTATGTTAGAGGTGCTTAACAAGGGAGAGAAGGGGGTCAAAAATCCAATTTTCCGCGTTGCAAATTAAACAAACAACACATATTCTGGAAGATTCCAAAATTACAAAAGGTTTCTGAGCACTTACTTTAATTCACAATCAACATTGCATGATTTCCGGACTGGTTCTCTCAAAGGTAAACCTGCACAGTAATCAGCCGCAACTTCATGACCTTCATCAAGCTTTACACATTTCACCATTCGTTCTGTCTCGCCTAGATGAAACCAGGAAACAAAAAAAGAGAAAGCAATGAAATCAGTAGGGAATGAGCTAACAATGAAGCATGAATAAGACAGAGTACTTACGAGAGGAATTAGGTTTCTCTAAAATGGAGGGGAAATTCTGAAATGTCTGGATGATCATTAAAAGCTGAACTATGTTCCACGCCACAAAAGTGGCAACAAAGGGGCCGAGTCAGTGACTGGCTTGGGGTATTGTTCAAGGTTTGAAATTAAGGTAAATTAGACAAAAGCTCATTCATATAAGCCAATATTGCAGCAGTTTGACAACTCTTTAATTATAGACCAAGCAGCTCACCTGTCTTCACCCCTTAACCGCCACTTTCCGTCAAGCAGACTATAAGAAATTGTGATACAAAAAAAGTTACTAAGTAGGGTATATAAGCCCTTCAGTCATCAGTGGCTTAAAAGGGGATTAACATGGCGGTAAATAAATACATTTCCAGAATAATTGTGGAGCGGAGCAAATTCCTGTAAGTCTCTAATTGTGAATTGCAAATGACTCTTACTTCAGTCTTGAGTTTCTTTGATAGACTCCATTACTGCATGCACTTTATCTTTGTATTGCATGTTTTTCACTTTTGGTTTTTTGGTCAACAAAAATTTCTACTGCGTAACAAGCAAAATAATCTAATTTACAACTTACCTTTGCAAACTTTGGTGCAGGGACTCCATTTATCAGTCAACTTCCATTTAAACTTATTCAAGAAATGATCTTGGATCCAGTACTGATACACTATATTCGGAGAGTGCAAATTACCGTTTGAAAGAACCTGGAATCCAAACACGCAAATCATTGTAAATTATTCATGAGTAAAAATAAACTGCGAAGATTCATGCTGAAAACAAATGTCAAACGAGATGAGAAATACGTAAGCTGGAGAAATGTGAAAACTGGAATTCGACTGACTAAAATTTCATGTTACCAGATTATCTGTTTAAGCTTATTCCATTAACAGAGAACAAAACCGCATAATGCTTTGAAACTTTCAATGCAGTTCTTCTATCTCATGAGGAATAGATAGGTACTCACAAAATTCACTTTAGAATGATGATTACTTTTTTGTTGAAAAAAGAAAACATGAAAGGAAATCAGGCAACGTTTGATTTGGTTAAGCTGATTCCAATAAGCTGAAATCCGTTTATTTTATGGTCATCTAAAGAGCAAAACTGCCAATATGACTCCAAAATATTGAGGTGGATTAGCGAAAACATTATTGTTGACTCATAGATATCTTAAGATACTTTATGGTGGGTTATTTTGGCTGATGATGAGTTGTCTTATAAAAGGAAATTTTCTAATTTTCTTCATTTCTAAGGGAAAAAATTAACAACAGACACAAAAAATTATTTAAATAGTTTAAATGAAATACAGAAGAAAAGATATTCTTTACAATATCTAGCTGTCACAATGTTCTTGTGATGGTAGCTGAAGTTCAGATTCAGAGATCAAATAATTTCTGCTGTTTATGTTTTTCATGATGCTATCATGATATTTCTCAAGATTATTTTGAAATTTAAAAGACGCATGGTAAGAAATAATGATTACCTCAACAACAAGGTCCTTGGTGAGCGGTTTTGATGAATTCACTCGCTCAACAATAGCTTCTGAGCCCGAGTACTCAAGGATGGTCCCACCATAAAGGATAAGTTTGGTTTTATTTCTAACACTGAAATTTCCATTTAGTATGTATTCTCCAGTTTCTCCATCTGACAGAGCTATAAATTCAAGAACTTCCGTGAAAAATTGAGTAGAATAATTACTGCTTACATGGGTGAAAGGAAACAAGAGGAAATAAATAAAAATAAAATTTCCTTGGAAGCTTGAGAAGTTGCAGGATACTCTTAGGTGGAGGGAAAAATGAGAATCAATGTACCTTCCGTGACACATAGGATAAATAAAATGTTTTAAGGACGTGAAAACTATGAGAACTAATTCTGAACAATAAGGTTTACAGTGTATAATTTTTAATAATTATTTCGTGGAGACTTTACATGATCAAACTTCACAGATTTAAATGTTCAGTAAGCTGAGTTTACAGTATTTTTCACAACTTTCTTCTGTACCCTAAAACAATAGAATATTAAATTGAAAAAAGAAGAGAATATTTTAAAGCAATGTTTATCATCTGGGAATATGTATTCCCACAGATATTATCCTAATATCTTTTGTTTTAAATTTTCCAATTTAACATTCGAAAGCATCCTCAGGTGAGGCAAAACCAATAGCTTGCATTTTTAAATAAAATTAATAAAATTCTAGATCCCTTCAAATCCTCTACTAGATTTCACAAGTGCAGAAACTTCTCTGATTTGATAGCATACAAACCTAAATAGTTATCATTTTTGTGTGCTGCTATGTATCCATCTTGTCGAATGTCCAGAGAGCTAGCTCCAATTGGGATACGAACAACTTTAGAGTATCCATAAATCGATTCATTGTAGGTTCCACTTATCATGATACAGCTACTGTTATCACCACCACAAACACCACATGCATCTGAGCCAGAAAGAGAAAAGTAGTTAGAAATATGTATACGTATGTATTTGAAATAATTTGTTGCAAGGAAACTTAGAAACTCCGAAATACTCTACCTTTACCTTTTGCCATGCACTACCCTCATAGGATATCTATTACAAGATTAAATCTAACATTTTAGAGGACATCCAAAATTGAAAATTAGTGTTGAGATGTCTTTGATGAGGAAGTTAAATTAAGGTCGATTTTAGAGTGTTGAGTTTGGATGGATGAGTTACTTTCACAACATTCCTTCACTCAGGATTTTCTTGAAGTTTAGTAAGAGCCTCCATAGTCTAAAGATGAAAGTAAGCTCCAATCATAGAGAGAAAAGAGGGTGATAACATTTCCAAAATCCTGGAATGAGGCTGATGACAGAAGAGGATACAGACTTTCTCATCATCAATTTTCTTGAAAATAGAGTGGTTTTTGGAAAAAAGTCATGCTTTAAACATTTTCTGAACTTATGTTTTATGTTGTCTTACACTTAATACTATAGACAATTCAGTCCATACTTTGAATTTCGGATTTTATAAGAGTATTGACTCCACATTATGCCAAAGAATAGACGCATTCTTCTTACCAAGTTGAGCATCTGAGTCTAAAATGTGATTGCAGTCAGCTTTCTTGCAGACACCATTGACACACATGTCATAGGTGTCGGGAGTGCACTTGGTACCATCAATTACTTTGTTGCCCAATGAATAATACCCTTTTGAACTAGCCACTCGACAATACAACTTGCATCTATCATCCTGATTATCTAAAATTCCAAAAAGATATTCACATTATTGTTGTGTATAGAAGATCGTTTGGAAGTTAAAATTTTACAATTTGCTGAAGAAGAGATATTATGTAATTTTTTCATTCCATTTTTGATACTGGGATATAAAATGTCTACATTAATATAAATTAAGTTGTTTTCCATATTCTGAAACTAAAATAAAATAAGTCTTTAGTGATAAAAAGCACTCTTGTAGAACATTTTTTGAATATATTTTTATTATAGGTTAAGACCAGACATAGAAACAGGATCCGTCTGACCTCCTTTCAAAATCACTCAGATAAGATTTATAGATATTCCTTTGTTAAACACTATAATTTTATTAATATCAGGATTTTTCATTACCTGAGCTCATTATAATCTAACCATAAACAGATTTAAAAATTCAAGAATTAACTTAATAATATCTATCTTATTAGGAATATATTTTTTAGTAATTCAAGGATATGAATATATAAATTCTAGAATTAGATTTAATGATAGTGTATTTGGAAATTCCTTTTTTATTTTAACTGGATTCCACGGATTGCATGTAATGATTGGTCTAATCTTTTTAGTTGTCATAATAGTTCAATTGATTGAAAAAAAGTTTAGATTTATAAATCTGAATGGGTTTGAAGCTCTTTAATTAAAAAAACTCGATGGTACGAAGAAAAAGCCAGTCCTTGTAGTAAAGTCTCTACATTTAAAAAAAAAACCATGATTCGGTCTCTGCTTGTCAATTTGAAATCTTTGGATTGGCAGTTGGATGGAAATCTCTCTCTTGCTAATTCAAAAACCCCCAAATTTGAAACAAGCCCTCGGTCCTTAAAGCTTTGAATAAGTGAGAGTTCAATTTCCTTTATCTATTTGAGGAAAATTTGCTCTTGATCGTAATTCTGTAAAACACAGGTTGTCCCAGACCACCCATACTGAGCTTTTTTCCAGTTATTTTAGGTCAGAGAAGGTTGAGGCCTAAAGGGACGAATGGGCAATTGACTCCAATGAATCAGAATTTTATCATCCAGAAATCCCTGCTGAAGGTGGAATTTTTGTTTTCAGAAAACAAAAGATGTTTCGAAAAAGTGAAAAATTCAGCAAAGAGAATTTGGAAAAGTAGACTTTGGCATTACATTATTTGACCTGACTGCAGAACTTAAAAGAGGATAATGTAACTCCGAATAAATTATAGATACCTTTACTTGTCCCATATTTTGGAACCCACTTCACATCAGTTGAAAGTCCATGAACATTGAAATTATTATTGTTGAATTTTGCACACTGTTCCTCTCTGGAAAAAGATGCAAAATAATTGAGTAAAGATGTTTAGGTATGTATATGAAGTGTACTTAGGATGTTGTGACAGCTTAATTTTTTGGTCAAATATAATAGCTTAACATAACTACATAGTATAGAAGAGTTTCATGTGCAAATCGAATCTAAAGTACGAGTTAGACAGAAATGTTGAAAAGGTTTTAAACAGCGCACACTGATAATAGATGAAACGGAGCAACACTGCGTTGTTGTCACCAACGCCAACTTTACTCTGGTATATATCGAGTCATAATACAGCTAACAGTCATGGGCAGAGTAAAATGGGACTGTTGTATTTGTAATTTTTGTTGTATTAACTCAAATTGTAGAAATATTTTTACAATTTCATTTTTTATGAATGTCACATCATGTGCCAAAAAAGAAAAAAAGGGTTGCTCACCTAAAATCAGGTGTATTAGGGGGGCACTCCTGAACATTGCAAGATTTGTATCGAACTCTTGCACCTATGCAATATTTGCCGCCATTGGCAGGAGGAGGCTCATCACAATAGCGCACAGACTGCTTCACGCCACCTCCACAAGACCGTGAGCATGGTCCGTAGCTGGAAAATAACAACAAATAATTTGTGAGAGAGGAATTTGATTAAAATAAGAGGCAGATTTTCTAAAAAATTAAAGAACAGTTAAGAGTTTGAGTAAAAGTGATAAAAATATTAGATTAAAATATTGACAGGACATTGAAGAGATAGAAATGTGGACTTACGGCTGCCATCCACCCCACTGCCCATCAATCGGTTGCAAGGAGTATCTGTTCTCAGGCACACATTCGCCGCGCTGACACCACAATCCATCGGCACAGGGTGTCCCATCGGCCCATGGTTGATGCTCAGTTTGACACCCAATCTCACCACCAGCCTGCACTTTGGTGCACCAAAGATTCTTACAAGCGGGCTGAAAAAATTAAAATTTTCAGAGTTATTCACTAATTGAAATTAGTGTTTCATTGTAAAACATATTGGATGCTCTTGATAAAGCACAGGTTCTTTTCCCAACTTGTGTCATTAATCTAAAATTTTAATGTGCTCATTAATTTGATGAATCTTACAACTAGATATTTGAAATGACTATTCACCAAGCATAACTGAGCCACTACTTTCTTCTCTCTTCTTTCAGGTATTTGTACTTTTTTGTCTGCGACATTAATTGAATAGATACAATCAGATACAAAGATACAAAATTATGATAAAAGGGCAAATTCTTCACCTCTTAATTTTGAAAACGCAATGGTTTTGTGTTTTCAAAATGTTACTAGGCATGTAAAAAAATAGTTACTTTATAAGGGCATATTTCTGATCCATTGCCGTAGACCAGTTCACACTGTCGGTTGACACTGAATTTCTCTCCTGGCAGGTTGAGAGTCCGATAGTCCAAGTAGTCATACCCAGGGGTGTTCAGAAAACAGGAGCCTCTTTCTGCACTAGAATCAAACATCAAAAGAAAGATTTTTCAAAGAAAGATCAAAAGAAAAGGTTTTCCCCCACTCACGAGATTGAAATATATAAGTACATTAGAAACACTTCATTTCAAGTCCAGGACAGTTTTTACTTTTTTGTGTGTAGTACTGAGTATCTTTTGATAAATAAAGGTTATTGCTCTGAGGGTCTACATCACCACAAATTTTTGGAATTCGTGGGAGAGTATATACTTGTTTTATTTTATACCCACAAAAAAGGTGATGTTAAGATAAACTGATAGAAAAAATAATTTTAAAAAAAAAACCAGAGACGTACTCTAAAAATTCTGTCAAGTAGTGACGGCTGCAGTTGGACCAAACCCATGGATTGGAGCTGTGATCCAAGACTCGAGACATAACATTGTTCGCACTGTCTGGCTGACGGAATGTGTTGCACTTGGGGTCATCATCGTGGGGAATATTGAGCCTGCAAAATTCAACCAGAAAAACAATGAAGAAAGTATCTAATCAGGTCTCTTGGATTGAAGAAAGTGAAGAGAGATCTAACTATGCAAGATTGAAGAAATAAAGAGAAAATTGATTTACTTATAGGACATTCCGAAAGTAGGTATTACAAAACTCAGATGTTTGAACACAGCCCCCGTTTTGTGTATTATAAGACATACTGCATAATACATGAAATTGCATGTCATGTGGAAAATTATGCATTAAAAAATATGCATTTTCAAATTTTATCCAGCCACAAGGAAACAACATCCAAAGGCTCCCACATTAAAATCGGCTATCCTCAGAATGTGATACTTAGATAGGAAATTTGACAATATTTGTCACGCCTGATTTTGTTTGTTATGCTTTACAAAAAAAGAGTTCATGATTCAGTGGCAAGGTGTGACCTGAAATGTAGGAGAAGCAGTGATCAGGTTTAGGGTTCTCAGGAATTCCTGCCTGCACAAATTGTAAAATCTCATCAGTCTTTTCAAAACTTGTTTCCCCCTTCCCCAGACAACGCAATTAATGACGAATGAGATCAAAGATAAAACCGTCATGATATCTTCCGGTTGGGAGAAAAATGCTGTGAGAGTTAATGTATGTCACTTACAAGTGTCCAATTTCATGAGCTATTGAAAATGCAGCACTGAGACCGTTGTCTTGTACGACAGCACAACCAGAATTTTCAGCACAGACAGTGCCTACCTCTGCTAGCCCAAGTACATGACATTTGCTTTGCTGAGTGTTTTGACACAAGATTCCCCTGCAATAAAGACAAATTGAATGTACATTTACTGCTGAAGATATATTTCCTGGATTTACATCTATAATTCATAACTGCCTTGATAGGTAAGCAGGAGCTCTCAAACCTTAATTAGCAAGATACCGACACCAAAAATTGTTCTTTGAAGCTTGATAAATATGTAGGTTGGCTGCAAATTGACATTCTTTCCGGTTGAACTGGGGAAAAAAACACTTCCCAACATGTGAGTAACTTCTTGGTTCTCAAAAATCACACTAACATGTTCAGGATCGCCGCATCTTACATTCAACTGATGAACAACATCTTTGGATAATGTGAACTTCACGATTAAAAAAGTAACCATTAAACATACCAACAAAGTCTGTTCTTCAGATGTTTGCTATGATTTAAATGAAGATATAACAACCTTTACACTCTAGATTTTACACATCATTGGATATCAATAAAGAAATATATGCATTGAATAAGTAGAATACGTTGTTATCACAGTTTGCTTCGCTTTGATTGTTTACAAACGGCGTGCTGTGTTCCATGCGTGCCTGTGTCTTCGCTTTGATTGTTAACAAACGGCGTGCTGTGTTCCATGCGTGCCTGTGTCGCGTGCTGCGCATGCGCCATACGCGGCACGCAATTCGTGAATGAACCATTCAAAACGGAACGAACCAATGAGAGGCCCAGAAATCGTCATCGTACTCATCGTAGTACTACGCGTAGTATTTTGTAGTAAGTGTTGCCAGATCGAATGAGCAAATGACAATTAAAGCTTTCCAGGCCGTAAAACATGATAATATACCGGAGATTTTAATGTAATTTTGCATTTTTTCATCTACCGCGCTCCAGTAGCATAAAAACTAACTAAACAATAAGGGCAACACTAAATTCCGATATATATTGGTTTCAGAATTACTGTTTTAAACCTATTTTTTGCCGATTTTGACTGATTGTGTGTAAAGACTCTAAATAAAATTTAAAAAAATGTTATTTTGAAAAAAAGGGGGGAAAAGAAGAGACAAAAAGGTCTTTCACGCGTCCTGAAGGGTGCACGTCAAGCGTCAGCGAGAGCGAAGCCCGCGTAGCGGCCAAGAACTTTACCCCAAAAACTCAATGATTTCATCAAAAATGATTAAAATTAGCACCTGTTTTTTACAGATGAATTGACGATTTAGCTTTACAACTCAGTTGAAACGCATGAAAAAATGTCTCACTTTTCATTAAAATAAAGGAATTCCCTTCCCTCGGGTTTGGTTACGTGTGCGCCAATGAAGAGTTGATTCGATTACCGCCTCTGTGACTCAGATTTCACGTCGCGATAAATGCATGAATGAAGTTTCTGTCCACGCCTCAGAAGCACTCGGGAGGGGAGACATGAATGAGCACTGAACATAGATGCCAGTCCGGAAGTGTCCCATTTTTTGAAACGTGCTACACGCAAATTAAAATGCAAATTCCTTGAATTTTGATGGAATTGGCAATGTCAATTGTCCAAAGCGTGGATTGCAAACGCCTGCAAAGCTGCCAGATCATGCGGATATAGACGCATTTAGTGACTATTTGTCATTGAATAGATCGTTTTTCAAAAATCAGAGTCTGAAACGGCTGTCTACAGATACTGATTATACGTCAGGCGTGCTTTCCGATTTCACCCCTTCCCACTTTTTCCTTTAAAGATGCCTCTCGGGCACTTTTAGCCCCCTCAGAGTTTTGACTAAGAGGGGGGGGGGTCCGAAGCGTTAAAGCTTTCCACCATGACCCGACATTTTAGCTGGACCAAAAGGAAATTTTCTGCATTTTTTGAGCATTTCTAGCTTTTGAAACCCTCTACAAGAAAATTTCTAGGTATACGGCTCTTGCTCACACTAAAAATTACGTCAGGCTGCAAGCTTGTCAAATCTTAAGCTTTTCAATTAAAAAAGAGCAAAAGCATTTCGACAGTGGTCCTTTTTCCTATTTCTCCTCCTTTTCTTCTACACAAAAAAAATTCGCTTATGCAGTGCTCTCGGGCATTTCACGGCGTCTACCGGCTAATCGCTATCACGGCTATTGATATTTGTATCGAATGCGATGTTCCTTTTCCAAACAGTATTCTGTTTTTATTTCTCTAATTTTTTTTTTCAAATTTTTGGTTTAGAATGATTTTTTAAGCTAATGCGCAAGGGCTATCGTTCTTATTTTGGCCAATAATTCAAAATTTGTCGAGATTTTTGACATAATCGATGACATTATTGCACACCAGTTCGAGCTTGTCAGAAACCGTGACCAAACACCTGAACTTACCACTACTACAGACGTTCTGTGTTTTCGGCCTCACGGCAGCCCATGTAAGATGAAATCCTTGGCGCTATTTTAGCAAAGTTATAATGAGGTTTGATGAATTAACTTAGAACTTCAACCCATTTGTCCCCTGTGTGTGAATTTGTGCTTTCGGGCAAAATTCGTCGAAAGGAGAGACAAGACAACGGCGGAGGGAAACATGAATAGTGAGAAGTGGTGACTTCCCGCGCATAATGAGGAACGGAGGCATAAATCTCAGCTCCAGGTATTGGTCCACAGACGGACAGAATAAATTGTTACCTAGTGACCCATATCCTCGGCAGCGAAACCAGGCTTCAATTTCCGCCCCAATATTTTTACCTTGTCCGGTACCATCGACAAGGAATACAAGGTCCTAACTTTAAAATTATCTCATGAAAACCCAAAATTTCATAAGCTCTTGTTGCTATCGTGCCCAGGATGTGAAGGGTTCTGAGAATCTAAACCTCCTTCCTACCCTCCCTTCACCCACACGACTCCCAATATTTCCCCGAAAGAGCATTTTTGAGGAATTTTTAGATTTTTGAAACTTTTCTCACCATAATAAATATTTGACCTGGAAATGTCTCTTCATGCAACATTTCTCGCAACGCCACCGCTCA